TGGTGTAGTATTTTGAGTTTGGATTCAGATTTCAGAGATCACTAGATTAAATCGGAGGAGAACGCACAAATTTATTCTGTGAAATTTTATTATTTACGTTATTTCAGATCAAAAACAAGTAAAAAATGTGTTACGCAGGTAGGGTATAACCCACCCCATCTCAGCTTAGTAGGTATATTATAGATACTATACGGTATTCGAAGCTTACTGAATTAAAGATAAACCTGCAAGACAGCGACCGTATTTCCAAAACACCGATTGCGTGAATATTTCAAACAACGGAGGCTTGAAAATTTTAATATTCGTTTGATTGAAAAACAAATATAAGGCGTGAGGTTTCATTACGCTGTCTAAATGGAAAAACTGTGTACGGTTTGTGCTATCGCATATTCATGGGGTGTTTTCGTCAGTCGACCTCTGCGCACTCTCTCCTAAGTCTCCGCCACAGTAAAAAGATAAGTAAGATAGCTACGTAGTGTTCTAAACTAAATTCTGCTTTGCATGTCTTTATGGAGTACCGTACCTGCAGGGTCGCAGCGGGATTCTAATACTGAGACTTAACTGTCTGTCCGTTCGTCTGTCACCAGGCTGCACCTCATTAACCGTTAGGTATAGGTAGAGAGTTGAAATTCACCGGATGCCGTATTTTAGTTGCCACTATAAAAAAAAATAATGAAAATCGGAAAATAATAATAATAAATATATAAAAATATACCAAAATGATATGCTTTCTAATTCGATTTTATTTAATGTCGTTTCAGAGGCTTTACCTCTTCAACGGTAATAGTTAGACAGTTGATTTTTATGCCATTTTTTTGCATAATGTTACTGCACATTTCTTCTAGTCCTGGTCTGGGCTAATACGTTTAAATCAAATCAGTTTAGATATTTTTATTACATTTAAATTTTTTACATTATTATAGCGCATACCTAAATTACAACCACTGGCCATTTTGGTAATTCTGCTGCATCTTACTGGAGGGAAAAACAAGACATTTGCGTGCTATACGGGGTATTAGGGACTGTGTAACGAAAACTTTGCAGGCGTGCTCAGACCATGAAACTGAACAACTTTTAGTATGGAGCCAATGGTGGGAAACGAAAAAAAATTTCCGACCTCCCATACAAAATTTACGATCACCTGACTGACTTTGTATGGGAGGTCGGAAATTTTTTTTAGTAGTTAGTAAAACTTGTTCAGTTTGGTGGTCTGATCATGCCTGCAAAGTTTTCGGTACACCGTCACCCGACACCCCTGTAAACTAAGTGTACTGTATCTTACTTTTACTGTACCTGCGCACTGGGTCGGCAAACAAGCCTAATGGAGGGATTTCTGTGAGACTGGTGGTACCGTGCCTGCCTGCCGGGCAAACGCTTGCTTGCTAATTTGTCATCTACGTTTCATGGACTTAGATTAGTTCAAAATACGATATTCAAGCTTAGAAAGTTTGGCAGCAATAAAAATTGTTTGATTTTTCGAGTAGATATCATTGCCAGTATTAGATATCAGCAATCTAAATTGGTAGGTATTGTTGGAGCATTTTTATAAAAATAATTGAGATGGTTCATCTTCCATTGCTTTATTTTGCTACAGTAAAATAATAAAATTTATTACACCAATAAGAAAGTCTCGAAACTTACTCACTTCGCCTGCATAATGTCTTGAACGCTGTAATGTTTCTAGGGAGAATGTTTCCCATAAAACAAATGTCAAAATCTTATGCTAAGGAGGTTTTTGTAGTTTCAGTATTTCGCCAGTCTCGTGCTACTGACTTAGGCCTAGTTCGCACAATATTCGCAAAATATTGCACCTCCGCCATGCATCTGACAGACAAATGCGTTATCGCTGCGCTAAAATAACGCAGCAACGGACGTTACGTGTGGGCTCCTTAGACTACTGTGCCAGTTCTCTCAGTTGGTTATTATTATGGATTTGAGATAGATGTCGTTCATTCGAAGGTCACGTCTTGAGATTGCGTCGTTTGGTAAACATGCTTACTTGATAGTGGGATCTCCGCGAGGCTTACGAGTTACGTGGTTTGAGTCGGCAAACTTACATTGTGCTGTTAATTTCGTAATCTAGGTAGCTCCCTATATGTATATTATCCGTATTTGCCAACAACATTGATGAGTTGTGTGCAATATAGCTATGAGTTTTTCCCAAATGTTCCTAGAATCACATTTTGTATGGGAGATTCAAATTTTTTTTTCATATATTGACCTAGGAATAAAATTATTATTTCCGAAGACCTGAATATTATGTTTTGCTGGTTTATGCTACGTGTTACTTCCAGTCTACAAAATAATTAATCTAGGCGTCTATATAAAATCAATAAGTATATAAAATCAATACCAATATTACTAAAACTTGTACCATTCGAAGAAAAATATTCTTTAATCCACAGTTACATGGTGTCGATAAACACTAGATTTGCTTAAATTACTGTACATTTTAAGCAAATTAATTATGCTTCTTTTGACATGGTATTTTGTGGATGTACTTCAAAATATTCCCTAGAATTTCAAACAATTCCGTTTCATTACACAGTTTGTGTTTTCTGCTCAGTCATTTTTCATGGCGTTGAAAAAACGATTCCATAATTCTCATAGCCAGCGATATTAAGGAGGCAAAAAAACAGAGACCTTGGCAAATTTTTGTTCAATTTAATTAAGTTGATAAGGGAAAACAGAAAGAAAAAACGAAGAATTTTTGAAGTATTTACATGGGGTCGATGTACCGATCACGGATTAGTTTCTTTGCAAGCCATCAACCGATTAACAAGAAAAAGGTATTACCTATAGTATTAACAAGCGTATAATTGATTTTCGACAGCTTTCAGATGAATATAATTTTTCTTTTGTCCTTTTCACAAGAATTTAAGAATTCTAAATGGATGAGTAGGTACTATTATTTATTCTGTGATGGAAGTTTTGAAGTCAAAAGACAAACAAATGCTTGGAAAGACTATAGGTCCTGCAAAATGCAGTGCGTGGTTTGGTTAGGGACAGAATACGCTAACCTTATGTCTAAATGGTGCAATCGTATGGTGTGCATGCACCGCACGATGTTGCCGATTGCAAAAATCCACCTTTTTTTATACGACACTCTATGACAGACAGTCGCAGTATTATGCGGAGCCTTATACCGGATTTTACTTATATGGTAGTAATTAATCTCCTTTTGTCAAAAATCGAGTCCGACTAAATACCGCAGCGTCATGCGGTGCGAATTTCCCTCCTTAGCGATGACGATTTTCGCAAACTCGCGCCAAATTCTTATTAAATACAGCCTAGTTTTCACTAACTGGGAGCAGTAATTGGGTTTATTAGTGGTCCGAACCACGTTCAGGCTCGTCCTTCGTCAGAATTTCTGTCACGTCATTTTAATATTTATCTCCACAACAACGTTGAGCCACGTTTGTTAATAATTTATCTGTCACTCATAAAATAATAATGGTTCATGAAATTTCATTAATAAGAGAGGTTTATTGTTTTTTTACAGGTAAGGAGAAGTGATTGGCTGTAGCTATTTTTGGCAAGTAATGATTAGATTTAACTAGTTTTTATATCATCTTTAAGGCACGGAAAGCCACGTATACCGCACAAGTTGACATTTCATATTTCAAACAATAAAAAAATTGTGTATAGTAAATTTTTTCTGCTTAAATTTTTGTTGAAAAACAAACCAAAGATACCAAAATACCGCCTATAGTGCATACACACACGTACTGAGCTAATAGCTTTAAAGTGTACAAAAAATCGTATACGAAAGCTCGCGAACGATCTCCCACATTCCCAAGCTTTGCATTCAGTATCAGTATGGATGTCAGTGAGCGGGCCCACAGTAGGTAGAAAGAAAACCAAAGAACTGTACTGTGCTTAAACTGTTTTCATTTTTAAATAATAACGTCCTATGGGGCATCCTCAAGTGGTCGAAGACACTCGATAATTGCCATATCTACCAGGGATGTGAAAAAATAATCGATTATTTTAATAATCGATATTTCTTTGAAAAAAAAAACGATTTTAATCGATTAATTAAAGGAGTAGAAATAATCGATTAATTAAAAATCGATTATATTTTCAAAATTTCCAAAATCATTGAAATCGATTTTTTTTTCGCCTTTATGCTTTTACAATTATGCATGCGTTATAACACACCATACCCGATTTTCTCGGTCTTAAATTTAAGTTTTCGGCTATTTATACACAATTTTCTCGGTCTTTAATTTAAGAGTTAGGCTTTTTTATAAAACCAACATTTTTTTGATAAAATTAAGGTGCAAACCGAAAAAATCGATTTTTAATAAAAATCGATGTTTTTTTAAGTAAAAATCGATTTCTTTTTAATCGATTTTTTTGCGAACAGAAATAATCGATTATAAAAAAATCGATTTTTCATTACTCAAGTCACATCCCTAATATCTACCTACACGAGACCAAAGGACCATAATTTTTCTTACTCTTTTATCAGTTAACTCTATATGTGTCGTGAGTTAACTTAATGGACAGCAGCTCAAAAAGTTTTCTTTCCTACTACTTTGGTGTATACGTTCTGCGGTTTTTTAACCTCTACTATGGGTACTACAACGAGGCAAGTTCACGATGTTTGCCGCGCGGTCAACGACACCGATACTATTGACGCTTGACATGAAATGCAACAAATAAGCGTAGAGATAGAGGCACACCTGCAAAAATGATGCCAAGTGTTTTCTGCATCAGTTATGTCACAAATCAGAGAGACGGCGCGCGGGGCGCCTTTGTTGGGTATATCTTACTTTTTTTTTTTTTTTTTATGTAGCCTGTATAATGTATCTTACTTAAACAACTTTTATAAGTGAGCTACAAAATGGATGACAGAGGATTATTGCTACATAATTTTGTGCTCTAACCGTTGGTTTGAAAGGGTAGTCAAATGATGATGATGATAATCTATAATTTGTATCAACTCTACTTTTCATATTGTACTGTTCATATCTGCTTTTGGCTTGCAGTGAGCCGCTGTACTGTAGCCTAGTTGGTAAAGGCGTCGCTAGTACAGATGGAGAAGGTTGCTAGTTCAAATCTAGTCTGCGGTAAAAAAATCATTTTTTTTTAACTATACTGCTCATAAATTAAATCGAAACGCATTGATTCTATATCACACTGTAGGAGTCATAGACTAGAATTATTCTTATACTTAGGTAGTTCTTGAGAATAAAGTTTTAAAGCCAACGACTTTGACTTCAAAAATACATGTTTCAAATACCTATCTAAACGATTTCCAGTGCAATTGAATGTAAGTGTATCGCACATATTCTAATACGTAGGTGCAAAACTTTAGCAGAACACGTTGAATTTGCAACTGATGTAAATCAAATAGAAATGCCTTCACCCTGCATCCGCTTGGGCGAGGCAGGTTTGCGAGCTTAGTGCGGTCAATGACACATTGTTACTATTGCCTCTTGACACGAAATGAAAGAAACTACGGGAAAACTACGTAAACACTAGTTTACCTATTTAATATTCCATACAATCGTAAACACACTCCGAAGTATTACGTCTATTTGACAAAGTAATACGTTTCTAATTGAAGGGATTAACATGACCTGGATATAAACATAGTACGGAGTATACTTTATGATAGGTATTAGGTATACTATTTCTAAGAATAACACTAAAAGTTCGTCCTTTATTCGGGGAACTTCTAATGCTGGTAGGTGTGTAGGTGGTAGACCTAATATTGAGTGTATGTTAGATTACTACCTACTACAAACTCATTTTAATAACTAAGTGCCACAAAAGCGTAGAACGTGGTATAAATACACGTTGCCTAGATTAAATCTAAACGAAAATTTAAATAATAAATACGTTGAAATATTTCGAAGTTTTTACTGTTGAAATAACAAAATTGAATATATTACTGCTGTAACAAAATACAATTTTGTTTCTCGCATATATTTTTCAGCATTTTCAGCAAATGAATTAAATTTGTTACTTTCTTTATGGCCAGAGAAAAATACGAAATTTGCATCTGAAAAAGTCGTTAGTTTTTATTGAACTTGCTGCTCTCCAGTTTCAGAGCATGAATTTTGCGTATTTACCGTTTTAAAAAAATCATATGTCCAGACAATTTTTTGATCAGAATTCCTGTTTTCATTTTTGTTATTATTTTCGTAACTTACCTACCTTACATACCTATGTTTGTACGTCTTGAATGCTTCGTGTTTTGTAATTTTGTACGTTGATACTGTAGCTAAATGTCTGCCTACCTAATAAAATCTTTAAAGGATTTAATCAAAACTTGGCCTTCGATACCTAACTCGTCTAGTGACCCTCGCGTTGTGAAACGATAAGAACGCGCGCTTCTACATAAAGAAAGAACATTATAAACCTGAAAGAAAATACATGTGTTATAAAATAAAACATAAGATAACATAGGGGCCACTTAGCTGATATAACTCCAGTGTGTCTCGAAAAGCTCCCGGTGAATTTAGCTCTTCTCAGAGCCAAATTTTTACGTTCAATCCAGAAAACACTTCACTTAACATATTTTGGATGTCATGTTGTATTGTTTATTTATCGCGCGGTTAAAGTTTAGTTAGTAGTGTTTTATTTTATTTATTTAACACTTAGATATCCTGAAAAACAAAGACCCAATAAGAAAGGAAGGGGAGAGTGATTGAGTGAGACTTTTAGAGTCTAAAAGGGAACCTAACCACTAGGAATACCCGGGCCTCCCAGCACGCCTCAATAGCCCGGCCATCACGCAAAACCTTAAGAGGTTTATGCCTAACCATCCCATTTCTACTCTATAAGACTTCCGAACCATCATCTCAACATTCTGATCACCTCAAAACACATCACACCTTTCGCTAACCTTTCATTCAACCTGCCAGAGTATCCTCTCATACCAATTACCTACGAACTGCAGTCCATTGTAAAATTCTAGACCTTGCAACAATGCATAACCATTCTCATATGTATCTGATCAATACTACGCTCTCACTCAGGGCCCAAATTAATGAGCAAGGACTTTTGGATTATTCAAAACATGTTCGAGTCGCAAATGCCCATACCTGGATGAACGCAGCTCGCCAGATGTCTTTATGCATATGTCAAAATGGCGATACATCAATTGGTCAGTCTCTAACCCCTATTCGAGAAATTGTTGTCGAAAAATAATTCAGAACCGTCAACTTTAATATTCAGTGCCCTTTTAACGTGTCAGCACCAAATGTTAAAGCGTATATATCATAAGTTAGAACAAATACCTATCAAGCAAATCAATCAGCCTTACGCATCAACCACATACATAAACTTACACTGCACAAATCATTCGCCTATATACCCTAGTTTACGAATAAAATAAATATAGTTGGCCCTATCCTATCAATTTAACTCCTTCCTGCTGATGCCGCATCTGCGCTAGACTTAACAAAAGAAAAGAAAAAAAACATCAAAGTAACTAGATACTCTATCAATATTTTACTGTAGCGTAGACCTCGTAGACCGATGACAACGCAGGAAACTATCCTAACGAGGAAAAATAATTTACTAAAATTATTTACACTCACGGCACTCACAGATAGTAGGTATTTACACTTAGCACTTTCACTCGCGTTGAGACAGCAAAACCATGTCTCTTCTCTTAGATACGTTAGCCGCGCGCAAATCGTCAGCCTTCTCGTTTCACCTCGTGTTCTTGGTTATATAACCTCCGCAAAAAACTTCTAAATCCCGCCCAAAATTTGCAAAATCTAACTAGCTCCCCACCTTATTCCATGCTGTCAATTTGACAAATTGGGTAATAATGGCAAAATTTATAGTGTTTTGCTTAACACTGCACAAAAACGCCATAATAGCTTGCAGCCCTCGGTCTCACAAATTTTTTCACCAGTAAAGGTTAAGCTACACTTGTCGCGCTCAGAATCTAATCAAGACTATTGTTTAACGAATTTGACCCCTCCTGAATTCATGCAATATAAGAATAAAACTAGTAAAAAGATAGCCTGCAACATAATTACAATTTCATACAAGTTTATGTATGAAGATATTACGATTTAGACATACCAAAACCTAATCTATGTAATTGGTCCACAAAACAGACTAAAATAAGATTTACTATGTTTTATATGACATAAGTTAAAATCTTACATTAAAAATAACCTGGCGAAATTTTAAATTTATCTCTCTATGTTAATGTGACATTTCCAAACAAAAGTAATGCATTTAATCTTAGAAACAAGTGTGACCCTCCTTAAAATTCACATGTGTTTGCACTTGTTCTATACTAGTGGATTCGATTTCAAGCTTCTCGCTAGTGCTCTACGTTAATAAGGGTGTCCACAAATAAATATTAAAAATGTGATTAATTAAATTACACATGATTTATGATTTAACCAAAGCAGAGCTTGTATTGCCTGTGGTACACTACCATCAGCTTAATAATTCAATTCGAAACCATTAAATGAATTTTCTTAGGCTTATGGTATAACTTTAAATGAGACTCTTAATTTAGTAAATTCAAATGTTAGTAGTGTCTACTTCGTACAATATTCCAATATAATTCTCCACATTTTTCGAATGAGGTAGCCCTGAGCTAGAGTGTAAGGCACAATAAATATGCATGCATTGACAGCCACTGATTAGCAGAGACGCATAATGACACACTTAACAAGTGTAAGTTAAATAAGTTTACACCAACCTTACGTGCCTAGTAACTAAGATCATTTTATTTTAAATTAACAGAAACCTTGAGTTTGTAAATGTCATAGGTTATTAATTTAAAAATCTCACGCTGTGCTCGTTTCTTTCTTACATATTAAGGGCAGTGGTTGTAAGGGCATAGCTCCGCCTTTTAAAAGACAAGGACACAAGATACGTTATGTTTACGAAAATTGAGATAGCCTAAGAACGTTTTTGTGACTAATTAGATCATTTAGGCCTAGAAATTATTAAGAAACTGAGATAGGTAATATTGTTAGTAATATTACTTAAGTTACAGAGCGCCCCGATGATTCTAAGCCATTTGGTTATTTTCTCAAAATTACATAAATTGCGAAGAATCAAATATAGGTTATTTAAGGTTGTAACTATTTCCATTCCGCCCCGAATTCTGTTAATTACCTTTCTTTAAAATTGAAAATGAATTACAGTTTATTTAAATTGAGGGTATCTTAATTAGTATTTGTTTTGTTCCGCTTGAATTTTGTTAATTCCCGTTCTTTTAAATTTAAATGAAACACAGTTTGTTTATATTTATATAAGAGGTATAATTCAAGATTGTGTCAGCAATATAAAATTGCTTAATAATATCCCCTACCAAAAATGACCGGTTAAAACAAAGCCGAACTGCCCATTTAAATCATTATTTATTTTAATTTGAAACAAAGATTAGAGTTATTGAGTTATTAATTTCCTTTTTTATTGATAACGTCAATTGGGCTTTGCTCTGGATGAGGAATGGTCTCACTTACATTACAATTATGATTAGTATTTTTTTTAATATAATTTTTATATTTTTTTTTTTCAAACATAGGTTAATGATATTAACTGACTTAACTAATTTAAAAAAATACAATTATCGCATGCATTATTCTTACATTTTACTTGAAACATAATGATTTTGAGGACGCCCCTGGATTTACATAATATCGTTCCATATTAAACGCGTTATAATTTCCTATAATTTTTCTTGTGTTTGGATTGATTAAAGTATAAGTATTCTCGTATGGTTCTGCTGCAACTTGATAAGGGCCCTCATATTTTAAGAATAGTTTCGCCATTTCATGTTTTAAAGTATCTGACTTAGGATGTGTCCTAATCTTTACAAGCTGGCCAATTTTGTACTTCACAATCCGATGGGTTTGATCAAAGTAATTACTGCGTCTTTGCGCATTAATTTCCAGATTTTCAGCAGCCTTTTACGCGCTTCTTCTAGTGTTTCTAGGTTTTCCACAATATTTAGGTTCCCTCCCTCTATGCTGGAGACATAGGGTTTTCCATACATCAGGAAATTTGGGCTATAGCCATGGCTATAGTGCATTGTGTTGTTGTGGCATTCCTCTATATCTTTTAGCACATTCGTCCACTTGGA